AACAACATCGGAGGGGTGTATAATAACATGGGCGAGTATTCAAAAGCGCTTTCATCTTACGAACGATCACTTGAAATCCGAAAAATAGCTCTTCCTCCAAATCATCCCGACTTGGCTGCTTCCTATAACAATACCGGCTTGGTGTATTATAACATGGGTGAGTGCTCGAAAGCACTTTCATCGTACGAACGATCATTTGAAATCCTAAAACTAGTTCTCCCTCCGAATCATCCTGACTTGGCTACTTCCTACAACAACATCGGTATGGTGTATGATAACATGGGCGAGTACTCGAAAGCACTTTCATCTTACGAACGATCACTTGAAATCCAAAAAATAGCTCTCCCTCCGAATCATCCATCCTTAGCTACTTCCTGCAACAACATCGGTCTGGCGTATTATAACATGGGCGAGTACTCGAAAGCACTTTCATCGTACGAACGATCACTTGAAATCCGAAAAATAGTACTCCCTCCGAATCATCCCTTATTCGCTAATTGCTACAACAACATCGGTTTGGTGTATTATAACATAGACGAGTACTCGAAAGCACTTCAATATTATGAAAAAGCCCAAGAAATCTGGAAAAAATCACTACCTTCAAATCATCCACATATTGCACTTGTGAAAACAAACATTGAAGATGTAAAAAAGAAAATGTAATTGGTTTTTTTTAAACGAGAAAATGAATTGGCCTTCTTCAACACTTTTGGGTGTGGATGTGGGTGTGGAGTATGGGTGTGGGGTATGGATGTGTGAGTATGGGGTGGGGTGTGAGTGTGGATGTGAATGTGTGGGTGTGGGTGTGGGTGCGAGTGTCAGATAATATAGATAACAACACCCACACACAGCCACAGCGACACCCTAGGATGTCGATGCGAGCCTGGCTTCGCTGAAATATCATCGTAATTATTAAAGTCTAAGGAGCCAGAAAACTTCGATTTAAAACTTATTTGTTCTTATCTCAAGCGTGATATTTTGGTAATGGTTTACGCCAATTGATGTGTATTTAATATATTTTGAAGTTTTAGTCAGGTTATTTATGCTTATGCCTCTATGAAAATATACAATAGATTATTTACTCAAATGTATTGAAACTAACCGGGCACGGTAAATACGTACAATTTTGATCACGAATTCTCTGAAGAAAAAATCTCAATATAACGTATTTTCTTTTCTATTCTTGCGTTAATAATCAATATTTCATAATGCATGACTGTCATCGAAAAATGTCTGAGTGGAACTATTTAACTAACATCAATATAGGTTTTATGTATTCTATTTGATCAAGGATTATGTGAAGTAAGTCTACTTTGTTTCTGTGACAATCATCAATCAATAGTAGCATATTATCATAAGGTTCAAACACATTATTTTATCATGTTTTCTTTTTCTAAAGTTTCGATTTTGCGTTTTAGCCCTTTGGAACAAATGAACGTTTTCAAAAGTTAATATATATGTACTATACTAGGTATTATAAAGGTCTGTATTTTTAATTAGAAAAATTATAATAATAAAAAAACGAACGAAAGAAATAAGAATTGAACTTCGACAAACAATTTTTTGGTAAATGATTTGACAAAATTGTCAAGTTTTAAAAATTCTAACTTAAATTATTTTAGATTTTATTTGTCTGAATAGAATAGATCATTACAGTAAAATATATCAATATCTGTCTAATAAATAACTTCACTCTATCGTACCATAAATTCAATTATTTTACTTGCGAATAGAACTCAGTTCAATAGTTAATACTCTTGCATATTCGTACATCAGTTTAAAGTTTTATTTCTTGTTTAAGATTCATGGTGAATAGTCTTGTCTTAGTTTTAGAATTATCTTTTAAGAAAAACGATACAAATTTAAGTGCATTCCATATTTTTTTTGCAATAATAACACAGTAGAATCGATGATTGTTGAAATGATGAATTTGCATATGATAAGTAGTTCATCACTATTTGTCTTTCTGCACCCAAACATTCACATAATGTAAATTGCTTACGGTGTATATATATATTAAAATCGCTTCGATGGATGTCTATTGATATGTTGCAAATGATTTCTTTTTTTGTCCCCCTGGAGTAATTGTCTTAATATTTGATCGTATGTTTATGTTCGAATTGTTTTTCAACAAAATTTTATTTTTCATAAAAAAAAACGAGTAATGTTAAATAATTGAATTTGAATAAAAGATTCACAGCATGTTTAATGATATAAGGTTTATATTTTTCATTCTCAGTCAAGACATATTCATGAGGTAAAAAGTTTTCTCTATGAAATTCTTGTTTATCTATCTCACTATGTTACAATAAAACATTTCAGTTGTAAATAATTATATTAGATAATGAAACTATTTTTGATCAAATAAAAGAAATTTTCTTTTAGATTATATATTTGGAATATTGTTTTATATCGATATCCATATTAGTATTTCAACTAAATTATGACTAATAACTCATGTTGGCCAAGTAATGAATGCTGGAAACGTCATTGGCCAGCGCGTATTGTTGCCTTAATTGCTGTCATTCAACTTTTTTTTTCATTTGCTACCATGCTACTTCATATTGCCATTGTTATTATTGGCATCATTATCTTTTGCATTGGAGCAGCACCATGGTTTATCATGGGTTTTGTTTGCTGGATTATTTTCCTTGCATGTTGGATTTCAGTCTTCTGTGTCAGTGAGTAATCTTTCGTTCATTTCTTATTTCAATAACTAGACTAATATATTTAGAAAAAAAGAAATAATTTTGTGCTATATTGATTAATATTATAAAATAGGACTAAACATTTGAATATATTCGATTAGTAATCGTTTCGAAGAAATATTTTTAAATGACAGGAGACTTTATAAATAAGCATAATGATAAATATCTTAGACTTCAATACAGTTGAGTCATTCTTACATAAATTCAGATACATGATTAAAAAAGATTATCTTACATAAAACATAGAAATGTTTGATTCATCAGTTAAACATTTGTTTTACGCGTAATTATCTGTTCGATAAGAATAGAATATTTCTTGGGACATACCAAAAGTATTGTCACTATTATCTTATTTCATATAGAAAACTTGAAGAATATATTTTTTATGTAGTAATAGAGAAAACAACGCTCTATTTGATCACTATTGAACTAATATTGTAATAACATTTTCATTAAACTTCTTTAGCTATGCTATGTAACGATAACGATAATAGGAGAAAATGAATGGATATTTTTTTCAGAGAGAGCACTATGGTTTTCACTTTCGGAAAGAGCAAATAGCATCCGTGGACAAAAGTCTTTCTCTCCTCGGGTCTCAGTTAACATAAGATCTAGATGTCTGAAAATTTGTATGCACATACTTCACCAAGAATGTATGCCAGTAGTATCACCCGAACCCCATTGGCTTAAAAGAAAACAGAATTATGATGGATGTTGTCAACTTTTGCTTTGAGCTTCGTAATTTTGGGACGGAAGAGCATTTCAAGTCGGTAGATCTATCATCATATGGCGCTATGTTCCATCTATCTGTCATACAAATTTCATGGAAGTTCATCAACTCGTTCAAGAGCTATACTCATTTTACTATAACCATCGGTTTGCAAAAACCTATATATTTTCCTTTGAAGATCCATAACTCAGTGGTAGCTCAATGAATCTACCTAAAACTTTCAGAGAAGCTTTCTTCATAGCTTAGTATTATTTTCTGAAAGTTTTAGAACCATATGTTATATTGAAGTGAAATGACACATTGATGATCATCGTGTTAGTGTCGAGGTACGGGAGATATTATTATTATTCTGGTAGATGAAATTATCTGCTGGGTGAAGAAAGACAGTAGACTGCGCTTTCGTTTCATATGAAAATATTCCGAATTAATCACGTATTTGATAAGAAAGAGGGCAAACCTCAACAGACAGTCTTTTTTAGATTGCGAAGCTCAAAGCAAAAATTGACATTATCCATCATAAGTTCGTTTTGTTTCAAGCAATCGGGGTGCGGATGATGCATCTAACATACATTCTTGATGAAGTGTGTGCACACAAATTTTTAGACTTCTAGTCTTTATGGTGGCTGAGATCCGAGGCAGAGAAAAAGACTTTTGTTCAGGGGTGTATTTGGAAAATCTATAGCATTCAATTCGATGTATCGTTATCTCTTTTGCCGTACGATGAATAGTGTAGCTCTCTATCTTGTTCCAATGAAAAATTATTCAAAAGAAGATTTGGCTTTTCTCCAATACAATTAGTACATTATTATTGGATTGGTGAAGTAGCGAGGGTGTGGGTGTAGGTTCATTTTTTCTAATCCACAGCCACACCGAACCCAGAAAATACGTACAACTATTGCTATGTTCTTTGTTTAAATATTCACGGCAATGAATTTTCTTAACGATTGTTTCCTTTTGTAAAATAGAGTTTTTAACACATTCGACGCGATTTGATTCTACGGAATAGCAAAAAATATGTTTTCAGAGAGTACAACTCTAAATAGAAATGTTGTTAACATTGAATTTCATGTCAAACAAAAAATCATAAAAAAACGGGTTTTAGTAATATAACTACCAATTCATATAATGATAATGAGCTAGGAAATCATCAAAAGTTTACGAAATTTTCAAACACATTATTGAGGATTTTCATGAGTAGTAAACCACAATCTAGCATCGTCATTCATTTATCAAATTAAAGAAAAAAATCTGTTTATGAAAATGATCAGCAAAGAGGACTTCACAAAGTCTGATAGATGAAAAAAATTTGTGAGAACCTTTTGGTATCATGGCCAATGAACCACTGCACATTATAGTGTGAGCCACCGATGCCTCACATCACGTCGTAGTGTCCGAGAATTTTTTTTTTCTAAGCAATTGAATAAACTACCTTTTTTTTGTTAGCTTGTTGTAATCGTTCATCCGTTGGCTGTGCAACATATGTGATGATAAAAAATCTAATTGCATTTATTTTCTCAGCTGTACTTATCGATTTCGATTATAAATTCATTAATGGTGGTCTTGGCAGTTATAGTGTGGACTATTACATCCTTGGTTGTCAACCTATATATAGCCAAGGTACGGATTTCTTAAATATCATGCTTTCATTGACGAAGGGACAATTAGCTGGCTCAGTTATTATGCTAGTATCATGTCTTGTTTTTATTGCTATTTATGTTTATGTATACATAAGATCATTGATGGATGAACGAGCAGGATTCAATAATAGTTTTCCAAGAGGTACTCATCAACGTCCAACAGTTGTATTACCTGAACAATCATGGACTAGTCAACCAGCAGACGCAACGATTTACCCACGCGAATCAATAAATATGGATACTAATATAATTCATTCTCATGATTATTCACAAACTATTGTTTGTCCCACATGTGATACAAAAATGACAATATCTGATCAACTTTGAATGAATTTATTCGAATTATTTTTTTAGTGATAAATCTATTCAATCAATTTATTAAATCAAGAAAATTCATGTATTCTTAAGTAGCTTATTACTGATACTAGTGTGTATCTATATTTAAATTTGTATTGTCTTTTTTTTATTATTATTCGAAATAAAGTTTAATCGTCTTATTTTATTTATAAAAATAAATTTAATCAAATTTATATCAATATATTTTATTTTCAAGACAAATATCAAATTAAGAAAAGAAAAAAAGTTACAAGGAATAAGACACATCAAGAAATAACTTAATCAAATGATAAATTTATAAATTCAATTTGTATATGAACTATTTAATTATTTTTATTTCATCTATTCAAAGAAAAAACTCGAATTATTTAGTTAATTCGATCATCCGAAGATGACATATTTCATTTGATATGTTGTGTAGAATTAGAAAAGAAATATGAATTTGTTTCGAAATGATCAAAGTACTGTCGAAAATTGAGCTAATTCTAAAGAAAAAACAATTAGGATAATAAAAAAAATATTTTACTTCAAATCAGTTTTTCGTTTTTTGTCGTCAACAAATCCGTTCCTTTATTCGAATACGACTTTAATGTTTGGTTTATATTATTTGTCAAGAGAATGAGTAAATATTGAAAGACAAAGTTTTCTTTTCTTCAACGTGAAATAAAGGACCCCGTCGGATTTTGTGACCTGGTTAGAACAAGAACGTCTTGTATATGGTTTTGTAGAGAATCTAAAGGCGCATCAAATGGTATATAGAAAATCCGGTTTTCGTTGAGCTTTTATGTCTTAAGGGCCTATATACTGCTCATAGTTCCATAGAACATAGGAATAATGGAGCCATTATGATGCTCGGTAACAAATCTAGGAGTATTTCTTTTTTTAGACCTAATTCAATACAGTTATGAATGCTCTTCAATTTTTTATAATCGATAAGTTTCAATGGAACTATGTTATATTTACGAGAGACCACCTTCATAGGTACAGTCTACTTATTGAGAAAATGACTTTTCAGTGTGCCCAGTCCTGTGCCACAGAACAATTGGATACCAACGTGAAACTTTCTCAAAAACTGCATACCATTAGCCTCTACCTGGTAACGTATACGATGGGGGTGCGAAATACCCTATTTTTGCTAACCAAGGTCCTGGTATCTTAACAAGATCTTAGCAATATTCAGTACTCCTGGTAACAACTTTAGTGTATAAATAATCAGTAAAGTATGCCTTATCATTTAATATAAATAAGTCCTTTCTACGTTGAAAAAAACTTTTCGACTCCCAGATCCCTGAAGGGCGGTACGGAAATATAGAAAAAAAAAAATTTACATTGGACGCAATCTCTATATAGATTCTTTTGCTGTTTCACCCATACATAATATCTGTATGATTGGGAATTAAATTGATCAAAGAATTAAAAAGAAAAAGAGGACCATTATTTGGAACCTTATTTCCGTCCCTCCTCCATGGATCAGGGGGTCGAAAAATTTTTTTCAACGTAGAAAGGACTTATTTATATTAAATGATAAGGTATACTTTACTGATTATTTATACACTAAAGTTGTCACCAGGAATACTGAATATTGCTAAGATTTTGTTAAGATACCAGGACTTTGGTTAGCAAAAATAGGATATTTCGCACCGCCATCGTATACGTTACCAGGTAGAGGCCAATGGTATGCAGTCTTTGAGAAAGTTTCACGTTGGTATCCAATTGTTCTGTGGCACAGGACTGGGCACACTGAAAAGTCATTTTCTCAATAAGTAGACTGTACCTATGAAGGTGGTCTCTCGTAAATATAACATAGTTCCATTGAAACTTATCGATTATAAAAAATTGAAGAGCATTCATAACTGTATTGAATTATGTCTAAAAAAAGAAATACTCCTAGATTTGTTACCGAGCATCATAATAGCTCCATTATTCCTATGTTCTATGGAACTATGAGCAGTATATAGGCCCTTAAGACATAAAAGCTCAACGAAAACCGGATTTTCTATATACCATTTGATGCGCCTTTAGATTCTCTACAAAACCATATACAAGACGTTCTTGTTCTAACCAGGTCACAAAATCCGGCGGAGTCCTTTACAAAATGATTCATCGCATGAGCGAGCAGAGAAAAACAAATATTTTTACGTATTTCTATCGGTCTTTCATTGCATATAAATCATGTAATTTTTAAAAGCATTGTTTTTCAGTGTCTTCTTAAGGTTTGCTAACTTATTTTTTCCCCATTTCATTCTTTCATAGTATAAATCATGTTTAAGTCGAAGTACAGCAGTACCTAATTACTATTGTGATGAAAATAATCGTACTGTCCAATTGACATTATCTTTATCGTCTCATTCTGCTTGGCAATCGACATTAAATTGTTCTTTACAACAATGCCATATGAACTCTAAGAATAATAACAGCTGTCATTCATCATCAACATCTTGCAACAACTATCGTACACTCAACGATACTACTAGTTATTGTGCATCTGATATTTCATGTTCTACTTTGGAACCGTGTAACAATGTTACTTATACTTGTGCATCAAGTATTTCAATATACGTCGTTAATGCATACTGTTCACCGTAAGCAGTATATTTACCATTGGTATCTATGAATTTTTGTATATCAGGTGATGCTAGACGCAACTCACATTTTTCATTGTGTAGAATAGGATCGAAGTAATTTATCTGTACAATAATCGAGATTCAATTTAGTTTCACAAATGGACTGGGTGTGGGTGTGTGTGAACAGAAGATCCACGCCTACACCCTGTCTGATGAATTTGTGAAGAGCTAACTTTCTTTCAACATAGACTGATAGAGAAATTTTTCTATGCTATTTGATCTAATATTATAATAATGAAATTTCGACAAGATTTTTTTTTTTTTATCATATGGAATGGTTATACTACGACTTGTCCAAATATAACGCTGTGACGTTTTTGCATTGTCTTGGAAACTATGAGAACTCGAAAACTCATCTGAACGTCATACAATGCAGTTTGTCAAGCTCTATTTATGCCATGAAAACGATTTTTTTTGGTAAAAGTCTCAAGCTTGGAAAGAAAGTTTTTCGTCGCGTAACACTGTGACATAAAAAGACTCTAGTTCTTCAGAGCCGCTGATAAAAATACAATTTTTTCGTGAAACTATTTCTCTAAATAAACATTTCTAGAGGCAGTTTTGTAGGGCTTTGAATGGTCTTTTGAATGCTAACAGTTTCCCTCATCTATTTTTACTTCAATAAAAAAATGTCAAAAATAAACGTAGCACTGTGACATAGTTTCTTTTATAGACCAATTTTGAAACACATAACATGTTCAGAACGATTTTATGTTTATAAACTTTAGTCTTTTCTGTATAACTAATAGTTCTATGCAAGAGTGAGATCAATATATCGATATGAAAGTTCATAAGAGACGCAGAAAGTTAGAAACTGTATAACAGTCTATGAATTGTTCTTGGCCATGAAAGCCAAAACCAAATGCACCAGCTTGTAGAGAATGATGTGTCTATTGATTTTTTTTTGAAAAATTTTCTTACTTATAAAACTAAAAATACGGTTTTTGAAAAGTTTATAACCTGATTTTCAATGCCCAAATCTAATTTTTGTAAGAAATAAATGCTAAATTCGTAATCATCATTAAAAACTACATCTAGTAACTCATTCAATTCTATACAACTCAAAAAGAATTTTTTTCGAAACTTGATTAGCGATGTGACGCGTTACGTGAACAAGTCGACTATGTGTTTTTGAAATAATTTTCGATACTGATGAGTAAGTGTCAATTGTATGTTTCTAATGAGTCAATAGATAACCCATGCTTGTACATAGGTACACCAGTACAGTTTATTTGCCATTTACACATGGTATTCCATCAGAAGCTGAACATTTGTTTAATTTACCTAATCAATGGCCCTCTTATTGTGGTAATGCAAATACAGGTTAGTTACCACTTTCAGTTACTTGTCTAGCATTACTTGTGTCATTGTATTTTGATTGTTTTTCGGTTTTACTATAGAATCTCTACATGGATTTGTTGTAACTTCAGATGATCAAGATCATTTTACATTAAAATTACAGACACCACCAGTTCATTCACTAGGTGATCAAGTCAAAGTCGA